ACTGCCACCTCCCTGCCGGAGTCAGCATGCCGCCCTCAAACGCCCTCATCCGCGCCGGAAGCAGCGACGCCCAACGGCCTGCCCCGGAGTGCCCGAGCGACCCGGAATGGCCGTTCGGGCGCCTCGACGGCCTCGACGCCGATGATTTCCGGGAAGCGGCGTACGAGATATTTTTCACGGCGTGCCGGTCGTCGCCGGGGTTCGGCGGCCGGACGGCGATATCGTATTACAGTCCATCCGATGGAGGAGACGGAAACGGGTCAGGAGCGGGTCATGATTCTGGAACCTGGTCCCCAAGGAAGGTATTACAGTCCCACCTCTTTTCAATAATTATTTTCTGTCAAATTCTTATGCCGTCTTTAGAAATTTATTTTATGGACATTAGTGTATAATCATCTCGAAGAAAGTGGGTTGTTTTGAAAAAAAAAAAGAAAAAAAGCTACATGTAAACATATAAAAAGTATGAGAAAATTCACATTTTACATGTGGTTTTTACTTTTTAAGACCACAAAAACACAACTCTTTTTTTTTATATAGCTTTTTGGTCACATCAACGGTCGCTATTCTCTTTCTTGAATTCCTAATTTTCTTTTCGATAACTATGAGATGTTATTCTATGTTGATGCTTATTGGCTTATTAGTGATAAGTAGTCTTTAACTTATAAGCTACTTATAAGTCAAATATACTTTTGTAGAAGTAAAATTACTTAAATGATAATAAATCATTTAGAAATAATCATAAATGGTGAGAAACAATTTGTTAAATGTCTGGTCAAAACGAAGAAACAAAAAAATACATTAAAAAATAAGTAGGCAAGATTTACTTATATTTTACTTATAAATCAATTCATCAACTGACTTATGAGTTATAATCAGTTTTGCTAAGCATATAAACAAAATATAATGAGTGTGTATGTATAGGTGCCCGGGCAAGGTGTGGGAATGGCGGTGACGAGCCGGGTGAAGCGAGCGTTGGGGTTGAAGATGTTGAGAAGGTCGCCGTCAAGGAGGGCCAGCTCCTGCGGCTCATTGCCCTCATCACCCAACGCCGGCGGCGGATCTCCGAGGATGAACTTCACTGTGCCGGGGCGGGGGAGGCGGCCCATGACATCAGCCGAGATCATGCGCCGGCAAATGAAGGTCACCGAGCAGAGCGATAATCGGCTCCGTAAAACCCTCATGCGGACCCTCGTTGGCCAAGTACGTACGTATATATAACAAAAACACTCATCTTTTCGTAATAATTCATAATTATTGTGTGAGAATGTGATTTTGTTGACAGATGGGGCGGCGAGCAGAGACAATAATCCTTCCACTGGAGCTTCTGCGCCACCTCAAGCCCTCCGAGTTCAACGACCCACACGAGTACCACATTTGGCAGAAGCGGCAGCTCCGGATTCTGGAGGCCGGACTCCTCCGCCACCCCGCCGTCCCTCTAGAGAAATCCAACCCCTCTGCCGCCACTCTCCGGGGAATCATCCAAGCGGCCGACGTCAGGCCGCTCGACACCGGGAAGAACTCCGAGCCCATGCGGAACCTCGTCAACTCCGTCGTCTCCTTGGCCTGGAGACCCGCCGCCGACTCCTCCTCCGCCGCCGAAATTTGCCACTGGGCGGACGGGTACCCGCTCAACGTCCACATCTACATGGCCCTCCTCTCCTCCGTGTTCGACACGAAGGACGACACGCTGGTCCTGGACGAGGTCGACGAGCTGCTCGAGCTGATGAAGAAGACATGGTCTACCCTAGGGGTAAACCGGTCAATCCACAACATATCCTTCACTTGGATTCTCTTCGAGCAGTACTTCAACACGGGACAGGTCGAGCCGGACCTCCTCGGAGCCTCCCTGGCTATGCTAGCCGAGGTTGCGAACGACGCCAAGAAAGCCGACCGGGAGCCAGTCTATGTCCGGATACTCGGGAGCGTTCTGAGCTCGATGAAGAGATGGTCGGAGAAGAGGCTGCTCGATTACCATAGGAAGTTCGACAAGGGAAATGTGAGTCTCATGGAGAGTGTTCTTCCGTTGGTCTTCCTCGCCTCGAAAATCCTCGAAGAGGACGTTCCTTGTCACGCAAGTCACGCCGTTGCCGGAGACGGGACCGCCGGAAATCGCGTCGACCACTACATCCGGTCTTCCATGAGAAACGCGTTCGCAAAGGTTCGTGATTCGCAGTACGGACTCTTTTTCGATCGATACTAGATTCTGATTTCATCTGATCTGAATTTTTTAAAAAAAGAACAGATCTTGGAGGAGAGGAACATAGACGGGGCGGCGTTCGAGATGCAAGAAGCAGGCGACGCGCTGATGGAACTAGGCGACGCGGCGGAAGAACTGGCGGCCAAGGAGAAGGAGATCTTCAGCTCCTCCCTCAAGAAGTGGCATCCGGTGGCGGCCGGAGTCGCCGCCGTGACGCTGCACACCTGCTACGGGACTCTGCTGAAGCAGTACCTGGGCGGTGTGACGACGATCACGGAGGAGACGGTTCGGGTCCTGCAGAGGGCCGGGGCGTTGGAGAACGTGCTGGTTCAGATGGTGGTCGAGGACTCGGTGGATTGCGAGGATGGTGGGAAAGCCATTGTGAGAGAGATGCTTCCCTACGAAGTTGAGTCCATCATTTTGGGACTTGTCCGCCAATGGGTTCAAGATAAGGTGAAGATTGGGAGGGACATTCTCCAGAGAGCTAAAGACACTGAGGTTAATTACTACTCACTCAATCATGCAAGTTTTTGTTTCATAGACATCTTCAATTGTTTTTAACCATATTGGAGCTTTGTGTTTTGGTATTGTTTTGTTTCTGAATGTGTAGACATGGAACCCCAAGTCAAAGAATGAGCCCTATGCACAATCTGCAGTAGAGCTGATGAAGCAAGGAAAAGAAGCGGTGGACAGTTTCTTTGAACTCCCGGTTAGCATCACGAATGATTTAGTCCACAATCTCGCCGAGGGCCTCGAGCAGGTCTTCTGCGAATACATCAGCTTTGTCGAATCATGCGGTGAGTAGAATCTAATAGAAGATATCATTCACCGTCACATTTAGTATTAGTGAAATTTGCACTAAATAGGACTAAAACATAAGTCATTTCCCAATGTAGGACTTAAAACTTTTTATTCCCTAAATAGGACTTGATAATATCTAATGGGAGGAATAATGTCCAGGAACGATGGATATTTAATATTTAATTGAATAATGACTAATTGATAATGACCAAATGTCTTACATTGGGAAATAAAAACATATGATCCTATATTAAGAAAGTCATTATGTTTTAGTCATGTTTAGGTAAATTTTTCTTAGTATTATTATTTCGTAACAATCTTGTACGTTGATCTGGATATGTTCGGGTCTGGGGTTTCAGGATCGAAGCAGAACTATGTCCCAACGCTCCCTCCACTGACGAGATGTAGCCAAGACTCGCGGTTTTTCAGGTTGCTGAGGAAGGGCTCTTGCAGCGCGGGGGTGTACTGTGAGCACCACCGCTTCATTAGCGATGCCAACCACGTGCGCCCCTCCACGAGCCGTGGGACCCAACGGCTTTACATCCGCCTCAACACCCTACACTACCTTCTCTCGCAACTCCACGCCATCGACAAACTCCTTTCCCTCAATCCGAGAGTTGTCCCGTCCACCACAACGATTCGTCGCACTAAGAGTAGCCTTTCCAGCTCCATATCCTTCTTTGATCAGGTGATTTAGTCATTACTCATTAATAATAACATTCTTATTATTATTATGAGGCCAGTTCCCATGACATTGGGAACCAATGTCATGGGATGACCCGGGGTGGTCCGATGCCCCGTTCGTAAAATTGACGGTTCCTACCCTCCTAACTCTCCCGAACACACCCCCTCACTCCCTTCAATTGCACCCCCCAAGTTGATTTTGACTTTAGAGTCAAATTTTGATCGTAACAACAGGCACGCGCGACCATCCGAGCAGCGGTCCAACACGTGTCGGAAGCATCGGCGTACCGACTGGTGTTCCTCGACTCCAACTACGTCCTATACGGAAGCCTATACGTGGAGGACGTAGAGAACGCGAGGATACACCCAGCCCTGAGAGTGCTGAAGCAGAACCTGACGCTCTTGTGCGCGATCGTGGCGGAGCGGGCCCAACCCATGGCGATCAAAGAAGTGATGAAGGCGACCTTCGAGGCATACCTCATGGTCCTGCTAGCCGGGGGGTGTTCGCGAGTGTTCTGCAGGACAGACCACCACATGCTGGAGGAGGACTTCAACAGCTTGAAGAAGATCTTCTGCACGTGCGGAGAAGGTTTGGTGGCGGAAGACGTGGTGGACAGCGAGGCAGAGACGGTGGAAGGGGTGCTGGCGTTGATGGGCCAGTCGACGGAGCAATTGATAGAGGATTTCAGCAGTGTGGCGTGCGAAACGAGCGGGGTGGGGGTCCTGGGAGCACTGCAGAAGCTGCCTATGCCTCCCACAACAGGGGGGTGGAGCAGGTCAGATCCCAACACAATCTTGAGAGTACTTTGTTACAGGAATGACAAATCTGCCAATCTTTTCTTGAAGAAAAGTTTCCACTTGGCAAAGAGGAGGGGATGAGAGTCTTGTTGGATACAGAACAACACTTGAATGTACATAGTAATTAAGGATGGGGGGTGAAAATATAGAATGAAAAGAAAGACAACAAGTACAAGCATGCATTTCTTGAATTCAAGATTCTAAGACAGAATTGTCTGGTTTGTTGTGTCATGATGGAAAAAAAAACATTGTAATTATTTCGCCTCTTCTTTTATTGTCTTAGCTTACAGGTAGGCATTGATATATACATATATACATATATACTGATATGCATAGAACAAATTAAAGAAAGTTTGCTGTCTTTCCTCTGTATAATTAATTACTCGGATCAAATCTTTTGTTGTCAAGAAAGATTGTAACAAATGCGTCTATAAAAAAAACTGATTTAGCAAAACAACACCAACAACAACAACAAATCTCGCAAAGTCACACAAACGTAAGGTCTAGTGAGAGTCAAAGGCTATTTCCAAGAGACAATCATGAACAAAGGACACAAACTGATTTATTTAGCACAAACAATGTTCCAACAAAGACAAAGAAACAGAATTAGCCAAAAACATCAAACAGGTAATAGCCCTCCCTCCTTCCCTCAAACACAAAGAATCAAACAGCCATGAAATGATTCTAAGTGAGGTGGTTTCAAACATTGAAACAGGCAAAGGCAGGGAGGAGTATTGTCTAAAAACCAGCTTTATTCAAACACATGACTCTCACGCAAGTGGGATCTGGAGCAATAATCAACAACAATACCAGAGTAATTGAAACACTAGTTCAGAATCCAGAAACAAGAAACTAGATAAAGCATTTATTTTAAAAAAAAATATAATCCCTGCAAATAGATCCAGAACCTGATGATGATGATGATGGAGAATCAGGGAGCGGAATGGCACTGACAGGTGACCACAAAAGGTTGGATTTTTTCCCTAAGACTTGCGCAACTTTTCCTTAAATCGGCAGTAGGTTTAACATGAAGATCATGAACACATTGGTGAACAAGGCGCTCAATGGCGGAAACCCAGACCCGGGCAACCTCAACCCCCGTCTCCGTCCTGTGGGAAGTGGTTATGAAGCACTTGATCCATGTCAACTCCCTCACCAGCTCTTCCAGATCTTCTTCCTCCTCCCCCCCCTACCGAATACTCTAACGAATTTGTTGCAGCTGACAACGCGTCGTCAATGTCGTTTCGGATGCCGTATATACTCATGATCGGATTTCCAAACTATGGTTGGTCGTCTTCTGTCCACCCTCTCTTTTTCTTTCTGACTGTGATTCCTTAATCTTTTACACTATGTTTTGTTCAAATTTGGGAAAAGAAAAGAAAAACTATGTTTGGTTCAAATTTGGGAAAAGAAAAGAAAATGAAGTGGAAAACAGTTTTTTATGTTTAATTGGAGAGGAAAAGTTGAAGGAAAAGAAAAGGCTAAAATCCACCATTGGTACTTCAACTTTATCAGTTGTGCACGATTGGTCCTTCAACTTTCAAAAGTCTATAAATAGTCCTTCAACTTTATGAGTTCTGCACCATTGGTCTTTCAAGTTTCAAAAGTCCATAAGTAGTCCTTCAGTTACATGTCAGCCCTCCATATGAAGTCCTTTTTACAGTAAATATTAAAAGTTAAACGAAATATTAATTTCATATAATACGAGTAAATTCCACTAGGTACGACTACTCCGTATTATATGGAGCTAGTATTTCATTTAGCTTTTAACATTTACTGTCAAAAGGACCTTATCTAGAAGGCTGACGTGTATTTGAAGGACTATTTATGCACTTTTAAAACTTGAAGGACCAATCGTGCATAACTCATAAAGTTGAAGGACTATTTACGATGTTTTAAAATTTGAATGACCAATCGTACACAATTGATAAAGTTGGAGGACCAATGGTGGAGTTTAATGAGAAGACAAATGTACTAAGTGAAGGGAAAACAAAATTTCTCCCAGTTTGGTGAAAAAATGAGAGAAAATCTTTTTCTTTTCTTTTCCTTCCAAAATCCTTGAACCAAACATAATGTTAGCGCCTCCCTAGGACAATAATGTTCTCATTGCACATTGCCATCTCTCACTCCAATAGTAATACTCTTGTTGACTGAGATTATTTTTTAAATGTTTGATTGAAATTATTTTTTAAATCATTTTCTATGAAAAATTGTATAGAATTAAAAAAATCAAATTACATATTGCATATTTAAAAACTACACGAAAAGATCTAAAAAAATTAGAAATGACATTACTATATCATTTTATCAAATGGATAACGAAAATGCACCAATAAAGTGAATAAAGTGAACAAGAACATTATTGTTTACTGAATCGAGTATATAACTATATACAAAGTCAGTAACGCGTAGTTACTCGTATTGAATACATATTGTGTGAATATAAGTATGTTAAACATTTGTAAAGGTAAAAAAATAGCTTTTGATAGTAAAACATAAAAAAGTGTTAATAGTAATTCCATGTTTTTATTTCTTAAATATAAATTTATTAATATACATATTCATGATTAGAATATAAATTTATTTTAATTCTTATTTTAGAAATAAAAAATAAAAATCTTATTTTAATACGGAGTATAATTTTTAATATTTTAATATTACTTTAATATTTTTCCCATCATTTATCTACTCCTACAAAAAGGGATACAGTCATACAGCACTAAACTAGGTAGCTGGTAGTAAAGTCTTTTGTGAGAGAAACACGAAATTAAAGTCAAAAATGCTACGGGTACACCAATTTTTGTACCTCATTCCATCTCCACCACACAAAAGCAGAAAAGAAAAAAGAATTAAAAATATAAAAGGAAATCTATGGCTATGATTATTGGCGTACAAATGGGATACACCAAATGTGTACCCCTAGGGCGCTAGCATTCCTCAATTAAAGTTGTTTGCACTTTAATGTGCATTCCACGTATGCCACAACTTTATTCACCAATTTGACTTTTACAAAAACTAAAAAATACGGAGTAGGCAAATTCTACAGTGAATCTAAAATTCACTATAAAATTATATATAAGCAAAATTTATATTTTTATTACTATTTATACACATATTTATTTTTAAAAATAAAAACATAAAATATCTTTTATGTGAAAAAATCTGCAAAAATAATATATACCCAATGTACATCATAGAAGCACAAGAAAGAGCTCCCCAAGTTTAAGTACCGACACGATTTGGTGTTGAATGTACTAGTATTGTACCCGTGCGATGCACGGATGAAAATTTTGCCAAAAGTTTGAAAATTGGAGTTATAAAAAATTACTTAATGAATAAATTTTGGTTTTATGTCCTCATGTTTTTTGTTTTTAAATCAAAATCACAATTGCATAAATACTCCATAGTACATTATTAATCATTTATTGATAATTCTGATGCTCTTGTATACGGACTACAGAGTACCAAAACTACTTTTATTAAAATCGATAAATACTCAAGCAGGGAGTATGTTCAGATGACATCCTTCCACTTAAAAAAAGATTATCCCATAGTTTTGAAAAAAAACTACTCCGTATTTGAGAAATACAAAACATTGTTGTAGTATTATTAAACACAGAAAAGCCTAATGCCTAAAGGCTTAAAGCTTGCCTCAAAGCTTATGCACAATCATTACATAATATAATTGACTAATATTAACGCTCCAATGCAGCAAGTCAATTCTGAGAGGCATACACTATAAAAAAAAGGAGATTTACTTCTACATGATACTTGAGAGGTATCACAATGTTACTTGTCTAGAAGAATTTTAACTGAACCCATCTTTTCACCAACTCGACTCATACATCCACATCTCCTTCCTTCTAACCTACAAAGGACCCTACTGGAGCTTTTCATCGCAGCTTTTTTTACTAAGAATCTCTATCTTCACGGGCTTTCCATCAAACTTTTCATTGGTACACATTTTGACTACTGCTGAAGAATCTTGCACCACTCTTGTCCCTTCAATCTTGCACTACTCTTGTTCAAATGGATATGGCTAAAAAAGAATTCCCATATTTATATCAAAAGATTATACAAACAGGGAATATCCATAAATTAAGATTTTTGTAACATATATAGTATTCATTACCAGAAAAACTTGAGGGGTCCATTGCAACATAATGCAAAACATTTGATGTGCCTTCATTGGGGCATTTTGTCAATCATTTTGTGTGCCTCTTCCATGCAAAAAAATCAAGTAAAGAATCCCAATCAGAGCTTGCAAAATTCACAGGATGTAAATCTTGAGTGCAAGTGAGCAATCTACGGGGCAAAAGCTCACAGTCCTCAACGTCAACAAAAATCTAGTAAATTGTAGAGGTTACCCGTGAGTATATGCAGGAGTAAATTCGATCAAAAAAATAAAGTTGGCTTGAAACAATTGGAGACAGAACGATCGTGCTTCTTCCCATCTTCGATTTTCAGCACCCTCATCCACCGTAATCCTCTGTGCCCTGAAATATCAAAAATTTTAAGTTTATGAACCAATGAATAATGAATGGATGAGGAGAAAAAAAATATTAAATTTAGAAACAAAATAGATGAGCAGAGCAGAAGAATAAATGTCATCTTAAATACCAAAAACCTAATGGAGGAGAAGAGGGAATCAAAACCCTGCGTGAGAAATGGCTGCGTGGATTGAACAACTCTCGATGCTATTTAGAGTTTTCAACTCTCGATGAATAGATGAACTTCCCATTAAAGTAGCCGACTTTGATTACTGGATGCGCCCTTTCCCATGCCCAAGTGAAACCGTCAATCTAATCAAAAAAATCAATGGTGTTTATGGCACAGGTCAATGGGTGGGAAAAGCACTTATCATGTTTCCCCTTGAACGTTGTATATTAAAACATACATAAAACTTGAAAATGAGATACTTGCCATGGAAGAGAAAAGATATAAATACTTCACCTAGATATGTACCCGTGCGTTGCATGCATGGTCAGTAATTTATCTAAAATATAAATAATCAAAATGACAGAGCAATTAGTTGTCGGCCACCACTCACTCTATATAAAAAAGAATTATATGCCTAATATAATAAGAGGGGAAAACATATATGCAATTGATTGAAAGATAGAGATGCAACGTAAAATAGCAAGATTTATTTCTGTACTTCAAAATTTGGATTGAAGTATATAGATATACTTGCACTGTCCAACATAACTAAATGCCTAAATCAATGGCAGTAACAATGATGTGTACATCATCTACCGGAAGTCATATTCAAATTTCAATCTAATTGCATACTATCTTCTAAATAATGTGTGCTATTACTTGAGCAAAAAAGAATCAGTAATGTTAAGAAATATACAGCATGTTACTTTGGCCAAAATTTTTAATTAAACCCATTATTAAAACTGTGTTCCATTCAACAATGGCCTCATGGGACAATTCTATCTCATACCAAACACTATGTAGTATTTAAAAGTGAATAGTACTATATAGTACATTTCAAGAATATTATAATCAATATATGAATATATAGAATCAACAACCAACCTCCTAGATAAGGACTAAACTAAAAAAATCCATTCCCAATTATAACTGAGGGTTGCCCATGTTCTTTTTGAAAAAGAAAATCAATAAAAAAAGTAATATTCTTAAAAAACATTCATAATTCGAGAGCTAATACTCATTCTAGGATACTTTTTTCATTATTTATGGAATTTGCTCAATTAAAGCGGTAGGATATTATTAAATGGGTTTTCATGAACCTTATAAATAGAGATTGTAGGATTTCAAAAATCAAAATACCAAAAATCTAAAAAACAATATTTTCTGATAAATTTCAAGGCAGCTTTATAGATATACATATTTTAAGATTATGTAAATCAAAACAGCAAAAAACTAAATAACTAAAATAAAATTAAATAAAAAAATACCTAGCCTGGCGTTGAAAATTAGCCCTATGCAGCTGATTCTTCTTGCAGCAAGAACAATAGGAGAACTGAAGCGAAAGTCTGGAACTTGCTTATTCCGTTTTTTCTGATTATTCAGATCTGAATGTTAAAACAGAGAGATTGGTTAAATACTTGGATAGAGAGATGCCGAAGAAGCTTCGGGCAGATAGGGCGAGGCTAAGCTTAAGGCCAGGTTGCAATTTCCGATCGATGCCCCTCCTTTCTCCGTTGTCCATGGCCACGGGAGGAGACATGCTTAAAACCCTAGATGTTTGCCGTCAGAGAAAGAGAGCTTGTTTGATCATTTTTCACAGATCTAGGAATATGAAGAGGCACGGTGAAAAGCCCAAGAAAAGCTGCGACCCACTTTGCTTCTCTAATACGCTCTCTCAAATCGAGGCTACTGTTCTCTTTTTACTGTATCTTTGGGCGGGAATGTTGCACTGTTCATCTTTTCCCATTTGCTTTGTATATAGATAGATTGTTTGATGTCCTTCGGAGGTCGGAGATTTCGGCAAAAAGAAAACTCTATTAATTTTCTTCCAGGCCCTGTTGAAGGGAGGTCCTCCCAGCGGCCCGATGATTTTTGGTTTTTGGATAGGTGAGGAGAAACATGCTTGTGTCATTGTGTGGACCTCACTAGTGTGTCCCCCCTGTGGATAGTTGGGGTAATGATTTTACGGTTAGGCAAGGTATTTTGAAGGCTCTAATGAAGAAAATAGACAAACATGATAAAGCCTACTCGGAGAATCAACATGTGTTTGTTCTTTTTGCATTACACTTTTGGTTCCTTAGCCCCTGAAGTTGTGTGTTTCTTGGATCGGGTTTGTAAGGTTGTTCGCAACAATATATTTGCTCCAAATAATCACAAACATGTTTTCGATAGAAAAATGTTAGCTATCCAGAAAGGGATAATGGCGTAGCTTAACTTGTTATCCACTTACCTACCACCTTGTTGTAAATCAGAAAAAAAATCACATATCATGCAAAATGCCTACTTTTAACATAATGTATGCAAATCACACTGGTGTTGGAATCTATCATCTATCAGACATTCCACTAAAACTATTGCAACTAACAATATTCCACTAAAATTATTTTAAATTTGATTTATTACAAATTAGCATAAAAATTAAAAAAAATATTTCGAGTATATTTAAACATTACGAAGTGCACCAAAGTACAAAATTTCTTTTTTGATAAAACCAAAAGTATAAGACTATATATTTCCATCCAATAAGTAAAAAAATATAATCACCTTAGGTATGTAGTTCTAAAAATATTGAATATTGCATATCTAGCATGCCCTTATTTTTCTTGACATAAATGGGATTTTCCGGCGTGGATTGGTGGTAACCTATTCCAATTCTACCCTTTTAAATGGAGGAAATTGGATTTTGAAAGGAGGGAGTTTTATTTACTTATTTAATACTTATCTATTTATTTATCACTATCACGGTCTTGTGCTGACCCGATATCAAATTCATCATGTCGATACCCCGAAGTAACAAAATGCATCACTAAGATATGGAGCATGTATAAAAAAACAAGGCAAATCTTCATATAAGTGAAGATTATTTACAAAATCAAATTAGTAAAACTCAAGTCCACACACAATAGAAGCATTCCCAAAACAGATGAAAATGCCAGTGAGTCATAGCTCAGCGGTTGGCAAAGGTGTGCCACAAAAAAAAAAACAATCTCAAGTCTAAAGTCTTGTAACTGCAATGAAAGAAGGACAAAATTAAAATCAAGGCTGAAGGTAAACACCAAAAGCATCAACAAATTGGCCGGCGCGTCCGTGAAATCCAACAAAGTCCCCTCCATTATCATCTTCAACCTCGTATTTGAACTTCACTCCCTCTTTCTTGCCATACGGTCCGTAAGTCTTCAAATTTGTCCTAAACGAAATGGATCTTATTATGACAACATCCGACCCGAAAAATCCGTACGTCCCCTTTATTCCCCTCAACTTTTCCACGGCTCCATCCATTTTAACCTGCAAAAAAACATGAACTATTTACCTTATCAACACTATTACCAAAGAAAAAACAAAAGAAAGAAATTAAAGAAATGATGTCGTGTTAGAAATAAATTAAACCTCGTGGGTTTCGAACCCGCCATTCCCTCCGACTTTTAACATCGTCAACGAACCATCCGGTTGAAGGGTAGTAAAAGCAAGGGAATCAATTATTTCACCGTTGACGACGGTTATCTGCTTCAAGATTCCGTCAAAATGGAACCTCCATTTCTCTCCCCCTGGGCCGCCCCAGGCCGCCACTTTAATAGGCTTCTTCGGCTTTGCCTCCACTTTAACTTCAGTTGGCGGTGTACGTGGACGTTCAAAAAACGTACCTTAAAAAATAAAAATGTTGTGGTGGTTTTTAAAGTTGTTAGGATTTGAAGCTCGTAATACACCAAACATTTTGAGAATGTTAGAGAAATGAGAAAACAAACACAAGCCTTAAGCCACGAGAAATATATGAGAGCGAAAAATTGTACTCCCCCCTCCCAAAACATACTTCGCGTTTCAAAAAAATCATGTCCCTAAAAGCTGTTCTCATTTTTATTAAAAAATCACTTTTATCCATTATTTTTTCATACCTTACATATCACTTCATAACTTTTTCATAATAATCTACACATAACATCCTACTTTTACTCATTACATCAAAAGTACTTTTAAAAAATCAACACAAAATTATCAATACCTTATTTTACCACTTTACTCATATGTCATTATTTTTATGGGACAGAGAGAGTATTTTCATTGTTTCAAGATAATATATAAAAAAATACTCTCCTATATTAACAAGACTAAATTCTATACTCTCAACCCTAAATCAAGAATGAAAATGAAAGTTAATGTATATAACTTTCATACAAGAATATTTGTCCAATTTAACTTGTTCAAATGAAAATGAAGAAACTTTAATGGATAATTAATTTGAATAAAATATACTCCATGTACCACAAAAAATTTCCTATTTTGACCATAAATTGGTCAAACTATTGCACACTTTGACCTTAAATTAAATATAATCTAAATAAAGAAATGCTAAAAAAACTGAAATATCAAAACTAAATCCTAAGATGAATCCAATTAAATAAAATTTATTTCATAATTCAATATACCTTTCTCACAATTTGTAGTCAAAGCATGTAAATATTTGACTAAACATTATTCAAAATGAAAACTTTTTTGTGGGACGGAGGGAATGGAGTAATTAAGAATTCTCTCCGAATAAAATAAAAGATAAACGCGTCACCTGCATGAGAGACGGAGAGGAACGGTTGGATTCTTTCTCTGAGTTGGGAAAGCTTTAAACTGAGGCCGTCGTCATCGTCGGCCACGCAATAGGAGGGGTGATATAGAGCGCGAAGGGCCAGGCGCTCGATGATGGGCGACCAGACGTCGGCGATCTTCTTCATCGGCCCCTGCAGCGGCGGCGGCGGGTGGCCGGCGTCGTCGTGGACGAGGAGGAAGCACTTCATCCAGGATAGTTCGATGACGAGGTCGTGGAATGGGTCAACGGCGTCGTTTAATTTGAGTTTTGCCAGTGCATCGGAAACGGCGGTGATGGCCATTTCTGTGGGGAGTTGCATTCTTCTTCGTTTTGCTCTCGATCTCTGTTACTTTATCGGCCTTTTTTGACGGCTGAAAAGAGGTTATATATATCGAGGCGTTTTGGGGTCTGGCCGCCTGGGGAATATATAACACCGTCTATATGCACGCAGTCCAAAATCCAAATTAACTTCTTCACATTCATTTTTAGGAAAAAAAAGGTTTAGATTCTTTTTGAGTGATTATTTAGGATATTTAAAAATTTTGAATATTTATAAATGAATGGTTGAAATAAGAAAATGTTTTTTAAAAAAATGACTTGGGTTAAAGTTATGCCAATAAATAATAAATGAAAAATAATTAAAGAGAAAAAACAATTTAAGTTTAAGGGATAGTTAACTTTATTAATCTGAGCCAAGAGATTTGTGGTAATTAGATTTGAGCTATATTTATTGGAAAATGCTAAAAACCCCCACCCTTGCGAAAGGGGAGAGGTACAGAGAACAGAGAACAGAGATTCGTTTCACTATGTTACACTCATTCGACGAAGTTGGTCGAAATGAGCTGATACTTCACCTTCGGAAGAAGAACTATGAATCTTTGCTATCAGGGAAATGACTAACCATCAGTCTAGTATTCTAGTATTTATGGCGCAATCCGGTAAGTGATTTCTGTATTCATTAGTTCCCCTTCCTTGTCAGAAGCCTCAACTCAACCTGAACCCTCTACCGAGAGTTCTTCCCTACTACCAACCATGCCCCCTACATAAACATGTGGTAAGGAGGCAAGAAAATTAAAATTAGAGGGTGGGTGGAGAATGAGTAAAGATAAATTAGAGGTGGGTGGAGAATGAGTATAGATAAATATGTGGTGGATAAGTGGGTGGAGGCAAGGTTGGTAGCAAGGGCGGGGGTGTATAGCACGGTCCATTTTTATTTAAATATAAATAAGGATTTAAGGGATGTTTATACGTATATACAAAAAAAAAGAACTGGGAATCCGTGGCTCGCCCGCCGCTTCGAGCCTCTCGCCCCAAAAGCAATGCCAAGCCGCGTTGGTTTTGTGGCTGAAAATCGCAGCAGCCATCTACTGGAGGCGGTCCAAGGCGCTAGATTTTTTTTCTTACAACCCTATAAATTCAAAAAATTGCTGCTGGGTACCTCTTATTTTGGGATAAAGACTGGCAGGTCCCATTGTTTTTCAAAATATACTCCGAGGTACCTTAAGATATTCGAAAACTGACTCCGGGGTAACAATCCGTCATTCCCTCCGTTAATATTTCTTCTCTGTTATCCTTCTCCTCCTCCTCCTCCCAAAAAATTGCTGCCAGGTACCCCTTATTTTGGGATAATGATTGTTACTCCGTATTTCTTAAAAATAGAGTAATAAAATTACTACTCTGCAATTAATTTCTAATAATAATTAAGGAAATAATAGGAAATACATAATATTATCTCTGTCTCGGAGCATATGTCACGTTTTGACTTTTTTCAATCAATTGTTTTTAATTTTTGACCTATTATTAAATAAAACATATATTGTATATTAATTCGATAAAGTAATATTTTGAACAAAGGATATTTTAAATCCCTATGAGTAAGTTTTTTTAAAAAAATGGGGCTGCCAGTCTTTATCCGAAAATAAGGGGTACCTGGCAGCAATTTTATGGGAGGAGGAGGAGGAGGATAACGGAGAAGAAATATTAACGGAGGGAATGACAGATTGTCACCCCGGAGTCAGTTTTCGAATATCTTAAGGTACCTCGGAGTATATTTTGAAAAACAATGGGACCTGCCAGTCTTTATCCCAAAATAAGGGGTACCCAGCAGCAATTTTTTGCTATAAATTCAACACATCTTCTACTTCAATTCATCCAATCTCATCTCTCTTAATTTACCTATTTTTTTAATTTCTTTTTATATTGCTCGTCTTTTTTTATTGTTTTTTATTTTTTAAATTTAATTATGTTTTGGTGTATTTAATCTTTTATATTGGTGTTTTTCAATAAAAAATATCAATCTTAGCATTTTTATTTTAATTATGTACTACCTCCGTCCCGGAGTATTCGTCCAGTTTTGACTTTTGGAACTGTTCATCTAAGCACTTTGACTCATCAAATTCTCTCAATGTGTAAGCCTAAATATAGTCATGTGTGATCTTGTTTGATTTGTCTTAACATATAGATTATTAATATATAATTTCTATAATTTTTTAATATACAAATTACAAGATAAAATGGATTAAAGAAGTGTGTTGGATGGT